ATGAGTGAAGGATGTTAGTTCAAGTGGAGAGGAAGGTGTTTTCATCCCGTGCAATCAGTGGTGAATAGGAGCATTTGGTTGACAGAGTTAAGCCACTCTAGATTAAGACAACTGCCTCATTAATCAAGGATCTTATCACTTAATCATTGTTTACATTAGACTGCCATTGACCTAGTAAGAGTAGGAAACTTATCACATGGTCACTCTTCCAACATGTTGAGGATCATAAAATGAGAGCTTATGGCCACTCTTCCAATAATTAAATGGGTCTGTTGGGTGAAGGTGAGAGAAGGGAAAATTGATAGTTATGAGCTTTTAGAGATTTATGTCCTACCCCTAGCATAAGAAGGCTATAGCTAATCCTTTTCCATCATTGTTTCCTAACTAACAATTTAGGGGGCCTCCTTTTTTTTGGATTTTGAGAAAGGGGAGTTGGTCAATGGGAAATTCCCACTGACCAAGAAGCCCATGTTATTTTTTTAGATTTATGTGGGGACCAAGAAAAGTTTGTTTTCCTTGGTATCACTTACCCATCTCCTAAGTGGGTAAATAACTTTCCCACCTGGTAGAACTGTTCATAAGAAGGCTCAACCTGACCAAACCGACCAAACCGACCAACCCGGACCGACCCAACCCGAGTCGGCCGGGTTTTCATCAGCACCAGTCGGTTTCGGGTTGTACAAATTCATAAACCGATGGTTCGGGTCGGTTTTGGTTTTCTTGTGTGGAAACCGAAATAGACCCGAACCGAACCGACTTAGTTCCTACTTAACTAAAAACTGAAATATCTAAAAATATATATTCCAATATCTATATCTAAAAAATATATATTAAGAAATATGTCAGATATATATTTCTAGAAAATATATATTCCAATATATTTGTATGTACATTTTTGTTTATATATATATATATATATATATATATATATTTCTAAAATACATATTTCAGTTTTAAATATATTTCCAGAAAACTAGGTGGCCATGGGGGGCATGGATGAACTTAGAGCCGAAACCGACCCAACCCGACTCAAACCGACCAAGTCGGTTTCGGTTTCCATCTCAAGTAACCCGATCAGGTCGGGTCAGTTGGAAAAACCTCAGTAAACCGACCCAACCCGACCCGTGAACAGCCCTACCACCTAGGGGGGGGAGTTGCCAACACTTGAATGGGACAAAAATGCCCCTTTTAGTAATGGATTTTTATGGCTAACATGGTCATTGCCTTATTTACATGGGAAATAAAAAGAACATGGGTAAGTGCATTTACCCAGGTAAGTAACTTACCGAAAAGCGAACGGGGCCTTAGGGGGAATTCGTTTTTGGGATTTTGAGAGGGGGGAAAGTTGGTCAATGGGATTGAATCCCATTGATCAAGAAACCCATGTTCTTTTTTCAGATTTATGTGGGAACCAAGGAAAGTTTATTTTCCTATGTATCGGGTGGATAAATTAACTTTCCCATCTTGTGAAAGTTGCCAACACTTGGATGGGACAAAAATGCCCCTTTTGATAATGAAATTTTTATAGCTAAAATGGTCATTATTTTATTTACCTAAAAAATAAAAGAAAATGGGACTTTGAGAATGATTTTTGACCGAAAGAATCCATTTTCTAAAGCATTCTACTTTGAGATTTGACTACGTGAATAGACAAGCATTGGGGAAATGTAAATGGCCTTTTTATAGTCCATTTCAGAATTGTTTAATTAATTACCCAAATATATTTATCCCGACCCCCTATAAACACCATCCCCCCATGAATTGGGAATCCCCCCCCCACCCCCCACAAACACAACACACACCTGAACGATAGAATTATGAATTTTTAGGGGGACTGAACTCAAATTACCCCAGTGCAAAATTGATCATTCCACCCCCCCCCCCTTCTTTTGAAGCAATTCCCTTCTGACTTTCTCATATTTTAGTTGTCAGGTCTAGTTCTTTTGCAAGGAACATGAGACTGTGAGAGGGGTAGGTCAATAGGACAGAGAACTGTAGGGTCTTTAGATAATGTATTTTTCCTTCCATAAATTTTTTGGTCGTTTCACCGGATAAGAGGTTCCATTTTTCAAAGTAGACAAATCACTTTTCCCATAGAGGGGGAGAAACTACCCAAATTGTTGGGGCACTAAAATGCCCCTGCCACTTTGCTAGCACACAAAAGGTAGGGCACAATTTGGTTGGTTTCATTGACTTGTGATTGGGTTTGAGAGTCAAGAGTTCTTGAGACCATAAGACTTCTTGAGGGTGTCACTTTGCTGGTGGTGGTTTTCTGGAGAAGAAGAGCAGCAATTGATTGGAGAAGGACAGCAGGTAAGCCATTAGTTCCCTTCACCCAAGAAAGGAAAAGAAAAATAGAAAAAAGCTTTCAAGAGCCAAATTGGAGAAAATAACATCAAGTTTCTGTTGATCCAAGTGCATGTAGAATCGAACGGCTGAAGTCTCTGACGGTTTTACCTGCATGCAAATAGAATGAGAGCAATTTCACAGTATCGGACCCGAGACACCAACCTCTCAAACAATATGTAAGAGAGAGTAGCTTAATCTGATTAGAGCTAAAGCTGAGAGGATAATTTTTCTTTCTCAGTAAAGGGTTTTTCTCATTGTGTTGAAGCACTTGAGAGAGATCCCTTAAATAGTTGCTCCTCCAACGTTAAGTTCCTTGACATTAGGAAAAACAATTATAAGAATAACCAATTGAGATAAGCATTAGAATTTATGCTCCATCAGATTTGAGACAAGTGTCTCAAGTTGACCAAGGATCTAACCACTTGGTCACCCAGTCTACACTGGGTCAAATGGATATCCATTTACCCAATAAGAGCTAGAATATGGATCCAAATAATCCAACAACATTGGTATCTCCATGCAAAATGTTTTCAAATACACAATCAAATAAATTTGTTTTTATAGAAAATAAATAAATAGGTAATTATTTAAAATGAATGATTGTGTGTGAGAGTGTTGCATGGAGACAACCATCAACCATCAACATGTGGCTTGTCACATGGCCATTGGATATTCCAACATGTTGAGGATTAAATGAGGGCCTATGGCCACTCTACCATCAGTTTCCTCTCAAAAGAGCAAATATTGGCAGCAGGAACTTCTATAGTAATCAAGACCATGCCTAAGCAACAAAGCACAATAGAGGATCGCCTACCTATTTTGTACATAGCGACAGCGTTTACAAAGACTTTTAAACCTGAAGAACTTATCAACATCATAATCATCTTCTTCTTCCATCTCTTCCTTTCGTTTCTTTTTTTTCTTTTTATGAATACATTGATTTTCTATATTTTCATATAAAATGTATACTTTATAGATAATTATCAACAAAATATAGCTATTGGTTGTTATAGAACTTAGGTAGGGATGAACAAATGGGTAGTTTGTGCCTGAAACCATATGGAACCAACCTTGAACCGACCCTACTCAAACTGTTACTAGGTAGGATCTGGTTCCAAATTCTTGGAACCAATCCCCACCCAAGCCATTTTCAAGGTCTATCAGTTTATCCTACCCAAACTGGCCTGAAAAATCAACCTTTGTAAAAGTAGCCTTAAATCAAACCTGCCTTGAAATAAATCCCAATTTGGATCTTGACAAGTCTTGAATTACATTATTATTAGGGAAAGTTGCTGAAACCTCGCCTAAAGTTTGGTGATTGCAATCACCTCCCCTAAACTTTCTTACATAGTTGCAAATAGACCCCCTCTGGTAGAATTTTCTAAAGAAATGCATAAAAATGTTCAAAATACCCATGCAATTTCTTTTAACAAAAACGTTTGTTTTCCAAATTTTCTCTTCATATGAATCACTACCCCCAACCCTTTCAATCTCTTTTTTCTGAAATTGATTTATTTTCCAAATTTGCGCTTCATATCAATCACTCTAAGGTAAAGTTGCAACTTTAAATTCTTTGTTTTTATTGTTTATAAAGTTTGTATTATTTTTGTTTATAAAAAACAACCTCAATAGTAACTGTACGAGTATTTTGGACATTTTCATGCCTTTTTTAAAAGATTCTACCAGAAGGGATCTACTTGCAACTATATTAGAAAGTTCAAGGGAGATGATTGCAATTACTAAACTTCAGGGGAGGTTTCAGCAACCATGTATTGATAGTAGTAGTAGTAGTAGTAAACTTAAAGAATAATCCCAGGATCCACTTGCAACCGTGTATTGAGAATATCTCCATATGTAAAAGTTTTTAATTGATAGGGAGATATTCCCAATGCACAGCTGCAAGTGGCTGTGAATACAGTGTAAACACCATTTTGTGAGGACTGAATCCGATCTTGCAGTAAGCACCCATATGTTACTTTGCTCAAAGCAAAATAAAGAATCGCAATCTACGAATTCACATCTCCGCCCCACAGCACATCCCCACCGTGTATTGAGAGCATCTCCTGATAATGACATCATCGGTTCTAGTACCATCATCGAGAGATGCACCCAATACACGGCGAGGATGTGCTGTGGGGCATTGTGCGGCGGAGATGTGGTCTCGCAATCTACTGCCAAGTGAAGTGCCAAGTCTAACCCGAGTTCTAATCCTCAGCATCTCTACTCACGAGTCATTGAAATCGTAATACTGGGCCTTTCCTTAAATGGTGTTTATGCAATTGTTGGACCCTGGGCGCATGGAAAGACATTTCATGGGTCCCACCGTTTCTAAGGCACCAAAAACAGAGTTGAATATAGATGTTACTTGGCATTACTCCAACGAAAAGAAATTATGCCCCTCATCAGGCTCAGTTTGGAAGGAGTGTAAATACAAATATCTACAATGCAAAACCTTGTAATTTGTATTATTTTGTATGTATTTGTACTGTACATATTTGTGTTTGTACTCCTCCCAAACTGAGCATCAAGAAAAAGAAATAATAGAGAACTTGGTCCAAAAAAGAAGAGAAGAAACTAGAGACCCAAATTGAGCCAAACCCTCAACTAATTGCAAAAGATAATTTCTTAACCACGTCAAATAAATTGGATCATAAGACATTTATGAAGAATGAATAGCATTCTCAACAAGTGAGACAGAGAGGTATTCAAATGCAGCATTTCCACTTGGACAGTTTGAATTGAAATGCCATGAGAGACAAAATTAGATAGATGTACAGAGAATGGAGCAAGGGGGAGAAATAGAAACCTAGAAAGAAATGGGAGAATATTGAACTTATGGACCTAAGACCTTAAGCCCCATGTGTGAACTTAATTCAGATACACTAAAACATGTTTCCTCATTTGCTGGCTTACAAAAAGAAGAGAAAGAAACAACCAATTTGATAACCGCATCTGACTAGTCCTGCTGCTGAGGCAGCAAGACTTCTAACTTGCACCATATCCTCCTTCCTTTCAAAACAATCTGCTTTGTGTTGATCTTATTCTTCCAAGGAAAGCCAATGCCACCTCTCAAAACCCAAAAAAGAGGAAAAAAATTATATGCATTCCTTATTTTCAAAAATGTAGGCTGGCCTCTGATTTGAAGAACAAGAGAAAGAAAGGAAAAACAAATTGGGTGGTTTGAATATGAAATTCAGCCACATCATGGAATAAAACAGAAGTATCAACACCTCAAAATCTCTTGTACGATCAAGACTGCACAGCTAGCCTCTGAAGATGCTCAATGAACACTTGGAGGCTTACATCGTCTGTGAATATCACATCTGATCCAGGAGCTATATCATGAGCTGAGTTGTATGTAGTTGATGGGTTCAATTTCGCAAGTAAAAATCTTGCCTGTAAAAAGAATTTCATTGAAAACAAATATGAGGAATAGTTCTTTGTTAATGCCAGACAAAATCTACAAAGCATGGTTAGTATCATCATTAGGATCGACTCTCTCTTTGCAATTCAAATGGAAAAAGAAAAAAAGTACAGTTAACTTTTTTATGCCAGGGAAGCAAGCACAAGCATTCACGCAAACATATATGAAGAAAAAGTCATAGTTACTGGTCTATATAAAATACCAGAACACCATTAAAAACTTGGAATTCGCATTGACACCCTACAGCCCATCCCAGCCATGTATTTGGAAGTGGGAACATCTCCCCATGACAAGTTTGAGAGATGTCCCCAATGCACACTGAGATGTGCATGTGGGGTGCCTGTGGCCTGTGGGCACGCTCTGGGACGCCAAACTGAACTAAAAAACTTGAAGGATCAAATACCATTGTGCCTAATTACAAAGGAACTTTCTTATGGATAAGAATCAAATGATTATTTTGAACATTACCATTTCCTACATGAACACATCTAAAACACCAAACGAGCAAACCATCCAATTAATAGGGGATATAGGGACCAAAGTTCTTTTCAGTCCTTAAAAGAATAACTCCATAAAAAGCCTTTGTAACTCATCTCAATTTAACAAGGAAAAGAATAGGGCAAACTCAGATATATAGTAAGCTTTATCAAGGCCAAACAAGGATGTTCCATTACCTTCTTTTGGTAATAAGACCATTTTATCTCAAGCAGCTCAGATTGATGTTGACAGATCAGGGCCGAGACACTTATGGGCCCATTTTTCTTTTGTTTATTATCAGTCATGTTTTTAGTGTAGTTATTGGGCCTAAGCCCACTAGTTGTTCTTTTTTTCTTTAAGTTGTGGTCCCTTTGTTATAGCTGCCCTATTAAGGGCAAATAAGTCATGACAAACAATGTTTTACATCAGTTAAGTATAAAAACAAAGAGAAGAGGCAGTTAGATAATCTTTTGCCTCACTTCTCATTGTTCTCACACTTCCTCTCTTCTGTCTTGCTCTTTCTCTTTGCTGTTTATTCTTTTCTTGTTTATACAGCAATTTACTTTTATTTTCTGAATTTCTACTTGGTATCAGAGCCACTCTTTAGAGGATCTTTGACTAGATCCATGCAGCCCTAGATCAGCCAACTGCATAGAAGAATAAAAGCCTACTTCTTGGAATTTTTGGTGGATTTCAGACTCCAGGTGAGTAATCTTGAATTGGTCATCAAAATCAGGAAGAACTGGAGAGAGAATAAGAATCTTAGTTGCAATAGGACTCTTTGTTTCTGACCTGGAGGGAGGCAATCAGGATTTTTTGGGTCTCTAGGAGAATCCTGTGAAGGGTGGCTTAGTTTCTAGCTGTTTCTAGGGCTCCTAGTGAGATCAACAGCCTTTTCTCTTGCTTCTATTTCTATCAGCTTCCAGAAAAGAAGAAATCTCTCTGGGTAAGTGTTTTTTGTTTTCATATGTTTTATTTCATTGTCTAAAACAGATTGGCTGGGTTGTGGAGTTTTTTGGACAATCCTTGTGGTGGTTTTCCTTCCCAATAAGGTTGTAGGGTTTCTGTGTTACAGTTTTTGTGCTCAGTATCACATCAGTCTGGCCTAGGAGTCTTCCTACAACTTCTTTTTGGGTGTTTTGGATTATTTGAAATAGTACGGATGCTAGTGGGACTGAACAAAAATCAATTGTTGATCCCAGGATGGGTTTAGATGGTACTGATAACCTTTAGAATGTTGCTTTTATTACTACAGCAAAATCAGATGGTACTATACCTAGAATGGGCACAATCAGCACCTATGGTTATTGGTGCTTGGCATAAATTGGGATATATCACGTTGGAGAAAAAGAAACCAGAAGTTACCAATCCCTCTTGTGCTAGTTGGATACAAGAGAATTACATGGTCATGACATGGTTGTGTAATTCTATGCTTTCCCATATTAAGTATTAACAAGAATTTCTTATGGGAAAATACTGCAAAAAAGATTTGGGATGGAGCTTCCAAGACCTATTCTCAGAATCAAAGTGTAGCTAGAGCCTATCAATTAAGGAATCTAGTGATTAATGCCCAAGAGGGAGACAACCTATTTCAGTGTATTTCTCCTCACTGAAGAACTTATGGTAAGAAATAGATCATTTGGAGATGGTGGAGTGGGAAAGCACTAAAGATGTTGCAACATATCAAAAGTTAGTTGAAAAGAACCAGGTGTTGACTAGTTTGAACCCAAAGTATGATGTTGCTAGGTAGCACATTTTGTCTCGTGATAGTGTGACTCTCTCACAAGCATATGCCTTTGTTTCTGGAGAGGACAGTAGGAAGAATGTTATGTTGAAGGGACAAATGATAGAAGCTTTTACTATGATCAATACTATAAAACCAAGACCTAGTGGAGGCAAGGGTGGTGGTGGTGGTGGTGGTGGTGAAAACAAGGAGGATGAGAACATTTTTAGTGGCCATTGCAAGAAGCCTAAGCATACAAGAGATACATGTTGGAAACTTCATCCTCACTTGATCCCAGTCAAAGCTTAGAAACAAGAAAGGGAATGCAAATTCAGCAATAACAAAAATGAGCCTTCCGGACCCTTCCTCGGTATCACTAAGTCTATTGCCACCGCAGCTGCAGTTAGAGCAAAATTGGAGAAATATGGGCACTATCTTGGTCAGCAAGATACAACTAGTAGTAGTGTGTTAGCAAGAGGACAACAAGGTAAAAGGCTTTCTAGAACTGGACACTGGACATCCTTTGCACATACAGACAGTTCATATGCTACTGCCAATCTTGCTTCCACTTTAAGTAAGGAAGGACCTCCCTTGATTACAGATTCAGAAGCCCCAGAACATATGACTAGTCTATCTACCATTTTCTCTTCATGTCAGTTATGTTTTAGTAGGGATAGAGTCTCTACTGCAAATGGCTCACATACCCCCCCCCCCCAGCAAGAAAAGGCATTGTTAAAGTGTCTAGCACGGCAACACCATTACTTTACATTTTGTCTTGCATGTTCCTAAGTTACATACTAAACTTTTATCTAAGAGTAGTTTGATAAAAATTTTGAATTGTTTTGCGACCTTTCTTCCTGATTGTTGTCTTTCAAGATCAAGAGTCAAGGAGAACGATTAGGAGTGGTCATGATGTGAATGGAATCAGGAATCTACCTTGTAGATGTGCTTCCCAATTATCAAAGTCACCATGTGAGCAACAGTAGTAGTGGGTCAGCGTCTATGAGTCAAATTATGCTATGGAATAACTGTTTAAGACAATTATCTTTTAGGTCTCTTACTTTTTAGTTTCCAACCTTATTTATTTAAGTCTATTGAGGTGTCTAGTCTAGAATGTGAGTTTTTTTTTTTGATAAATGATGTGAAAGTTGTCAACTTGCTAAACGTTGTATACATTCTTTTGCTTCAAGTAATTAAATAAGTGTTTCTGCTGTTGACCTTGTTCATAATGATGTTTGGGTTCCCTACTTTGTTCCCTCTATGGGAGGTTATCAATATTTCCCTTTGTTTGCAGATGACCATACTCGGTTCTCTTGGATTCATCATATGGTTCTCACACTGTTTGGAGTGAAAACAAAAATTTTTAGATCAGATAATGCAAAAGAGTACATTCAAAAGGATTTAGCAACTTATTTGTTGGAACATGGGGTTATTCACCGAAGCAGTTGTGTATATTCTTCTCAGTAGAATGGAGTACTAGAAAGGAAGAACCAACATATACTTAAGGTGGCACGAAGTATCATGATATATGCATATGTTCTGGTTTGATTTTTAGGTGATTTTGTGTATATTGTTGTCTTCTTGATTAACTGCATGCCTTCATGTATTCTTGGATTTAAGACCCTGTATGGTCTTCTTTTTCTTGAGGGGGAGTTATTTCATATTCACTCGAGGGTTTTTGGATGTACTTGTTTTTTCCACGTACTTGGTCCACATCGTAATAAGCTTGATCTTAAATCTAAGAAGTGTGTCTTCCTTGGGTATGCTAAAAACCAAAAGGGGTACTATTGATAATTTGCTATGATCCAGTGTCAAGGAGTCGGTATGTTATCATGGATGTTACTTTCTTTGAGTCCACTCCTTTGTTTTCTGATGTTGTTCCTCAAGGGGGTATTTTGGGGATGAGCGTCTTGTTCCCCTTCCAATTCCCATCTTCTTCATTGCCCATTCCAACTCCTATTTCCTTGTGATCCACTATGCGTTGTCCCACACTTTTTCAAGCACCAAAGCATGAGGGTTGATTCTAATGCTCCTCATGCACCAATAGAAGAACCCATGCCACTTCCAATTTGAGGCTTCAGATTCACCAAATACAGATCCAGGTATGCCTTCTTTCACCCATTGATCATAAGCACAAAATTAGTGCGTTAGATGGTGAATTAGTTAAAGATATAGGGAGGTATCAGAGATTGATGGGCAAACTATTATATCTTTGTATGACATGTCCAGATAGGATCCTTGCTTACATAAAGAAGCATCTTAGCAAAGGTGTGTTATTTGCTAACCAAGAACATATTAAACTAGAGCCATATACAAATGTAGATTGGATAAGATGCCTAGATGATAGGAGATCCACATCCAGCTTTCTAGTGTAGATTGGAGGGAGTTCGGTTTTATGGAAAAGTAAGAAATAGACAGTGGTGGCTAGATCAAATGCAGAAGCATACAAGGTTCATGGCTCATGGTGTTTCAGAACTCCTCTAGCCCAGGTCTTTATGAAGTGAGATTAGAATTAATGCAAAACAATCTATGATGCTGTATTGTGACAATCAAGCTGTTATTAACATTGCACACAATCCAATTCAGCATGATAACCAAGCACATCAAGGTTGATATACACTTTATTAGGGAAAGAGTGTCCTCAAGAGAGGTGTGCTTACCATATATCACATCAGAGTTGCAACTGGCATATAACTTCACCAAAAGGGTTGCAAAAAACAAGCTGGAACATGGCTTACACAAGTTGGGAATGATTGACATTTACTCCCCAACTTGAGGGGGAGTGTTGATAGATCAGGGCTGAGACATTTATTGGCCCACTTTTCTTTTGTTTATTATTAGTTATGTTTTTAGTGTAGTTATTGGGCCGAAGCCCACTAGTTGTTGTTCCTTTTTTCTTTTAAGTTGTGGTCCCCCTATTAAGGGCAAATTAGTCATTGAATAACAATGTTTTACATCAATTAAGTATAAATACAAAGAGAAGAGGCGGCTAGATATTCTTTTGCCTCTTTCTCATTGTTCTCTCACTTCCTCTCTTCTTTCTCTTTGCTGTTCATTCTTTTCTTGTTTATACAGCAATTTACTTTTATTTCCTGAATTTCTACTACTGAAAAAGCACTCAAATATTTCACTGACAGAAAGGGCACAGAATAATGATTCAACTTCAGGTTTTCATCAAGATTGGGGTCATGTTTTTAAATTTGAATCATCAACCATCAGAGACAGTGCTTGCATTTAAAGGGATGCATTCAATGCAAAACAACTGACCTGGGAGCCATGCTGATCACAAACCACCAATCGTGGGATAGGGAATCGATCCTGGATTATCATTTGGGCATCATCATGAGGAGCCTGTAATAGCTGGGCAAAGGCCTGAAGAAAGAAATAAACACATATACGGAAATTATTACATAAAAATAATGTACATAAGCTTAAAAAAAGCATCAGGAATAATAGAACCCTGTCTTTGCACAAATGTCAAAAATACATTCAAATTTTGTAAGTAACCACTTCATAGAGTACAGAGAGTCAAAGACATGTAAGAACCAGCATCTGCAATAAGAGCTACAAATATTAAATGTGGCGAAGAAGGCTCGAACACACCCATATGCAAGAATAACAGGACGAGAAAGCTAATAGTAAGAGGATATATTAAGTACGACTTACATCTATGGTGCACTCAAGGGGCCATTACTTGGTGTAATGGTAAAACCTCATGCTGTCAAGCATGAGAACCCAGGTTTGAGTCTCAGAGCAGCCAATTTGAGCAAAAAAAAAAAAAAAGCCAAAGGTTAGGACTGTATCCAGCTCACCCCTCCAAAGACCCCAGATAGCTGGGCCAGCATTGGGCAATGGCCTTTATATGTCTATGGTGCACTCAAGGCAGTCATTCCTAAAGAAGTTTCATGCTTTCACTCTAATCAATTTAAATTTGTGATGACAAGGATTAGAGTATCAGTATAAAAAACATCAACTGCAGAACATTGTTCCATGTGGGAGATACACCAGCACCAATAAACACACATAAACAGATACACAATTTTCACAATGCTTAGGTATCATACACATAAATCAGGATGATCAAATATTCAAAGCCACTGGATTTCAATGCCTTTGAATGAGGACCTAGATCGAGCATCTTCGTAAGATCTAAAGCAAGAACTTGACAAGAATGATACAGATACTAACCCGATGTTCTGGCTGATTCTGGTAACCAGCATTTCGCCACTGAGCTATTGTCATTCCATGGAAAATAACTACACTGAAATATGCATCCAGCAAGAGAATTTGCTCAGATGAAATAGAAGCTACATCCAACAATGCAGGCTTAGGTAGTGAATGGAATGAATATGCAATCAATGACGGCTGTATCATGACCACGGAGTTGAGGATATTCTCCCGATTTAACAACATACGAAAATAGGCAGTCTCATCTGGACTATTGTTAAAAACCTGCAAACAAGTAAAATAAATGAATAGTCAAATAAAAAGATAAGGAAAAACTAAGCTCCCAGACCTGAATACCATAATTCAATACCTGTACAAATTGTGACCGCCGTAGATTAAACATAAATTGAGGAAATAATGAGAAACTAGTGTTCAATGTAAATGAAGAAGGATCATCCTTCCTGTAGTCACCAAATCTGGAACATAGACGGATGAGGGATCTATCCAACCATCTCGTTGCATCAAACTCTTCCTGAGTGAAAAAGTAATAAAAAAAGGTTAATCATTTAAGGTGTGATAACTTACACTCAACTAATAAGATAAACCACGTCATTGTCATAGAAACCAAATAGCTCCCCCCTCCCCAAACAAGCAAGAAGATATAATTCCTGCTCTATCATCTCCATTGTCCGGCTACTTAAACCAAACAAAAAAAAAACAGAAATTTTATTCTGATGAACCAATAAGAAAACACTAGATGAATCACTGTGCAGACAAAAATTTAATTAAGAAAAAGAAAAGGCTTCAGCATTTAGATTTGGGATTTCAATCATGTCAGAATAAATGTACTCATGCCTTTAACCAAAATATAGAAATACCAAGTACAGATGTTTATAATATTTTCATGAAGTTATAAATGTACTCAGGTGCGCTATAGGCATTTAGCTTTCAAAAATCCTGTTTAGCCGGGCAAAATCAAGTACAAATGTTTATAATATTTTCATGGAGTTATATGCACGGACAGAGGGGTGTTTCCACTTCAGTATCCTATCTTTCCTATGCAGTAACTATGTGGTTAAAACTTATAATAAACAACTTAATCTCCAGAAACCCAATGCAAAAAAAAAAAATCAAGTACAAACACTGACTTAAAACATCGCAATAAGCATTGTTTGATTGCTGCAGCCTTTTTCCAAGGATTTAAGTCCAGGTGAGTGGTGTCCCATTTTTAGAAGTCTAAATGTCTGGGAGGTGGGGCAGTGGATGGAACTGATGCAAATGATCGGCAACTTCATGCCTGATCAGTCAAGAAGAGATAAAGGGGTATGGTTGCTGAAAAAGTTATGATTATTTTCAGTCAGATCTTTCTACAACAGATTGAATGAGAATGTAGGGGAGTTGGAAAGCTTTCCAGAGGCCAGAGTGGAATATTGCCCCTCCTAAAGTTGCCTTTTTGATGTAGGTTGCAGCTATGTGGAAGTGTTTAAAAGCAGATGTTTTGGCAAGAAAAGGATTGACGGTGGAACCCAGCAGATGTATGTGTAGGAAGCTTCCGAAGATCTGAATCATCTTCTTATTCATTGCAGATTGGCTAGAAGTTTATGGGCAAGACTACTAGGTTTATTTGAAGCTCAGATTTGTTTCCCAAAAAATTCTGGCTGCCTAAATATGGAGTTGGCAGCTGAAAGGTTTATGTAAAGAAGGTAAGGTGACATGGGAAGTAGGGACTGCAACAGTGGAGTGAATTATATGGATGAAAAGAAATTGGAGGTTGTCTGAAGACAAACATGGCTCAGAAGATGCCCTGCTGAAAGAATTTTAGGGTAAATCGTATTCTTGGATGGAACACACAAACATTTTAGGAACAAACCTTATAGTTCTTTTTTCAAGTACAGCTCTCTTTTTGTATCTATGCACACAGGATAGAAATGTATAGAAAAGACTTCGACCACTGCACAGTGCCTTGTTGTGCCGCATGGTATATTTTGCTTTTACTTTGAGTAATACAATACTTTACCTTTCTCTCAAAAGAAAAACACCATGTATAATGCTACACTAGATGATAAATGATGAAAAACCTGGTTTTCAATGACAGGATCTGTGAAATCTTGGGAATACCTCCATCTCCATTTTCAAAGAAGTCAATCTTGCCATTACAACAGCAGCAGTCTCTTGATCAAATCCATCAACAAATTCCTGCAAAATTTAATCACACTCCATCCATGTCAGGAATTAAATTTGTAATACCTCCAAAGTCAAATTCAAGAAGAATAATGATATCACAGAATACAATTCTGATCTGTCAAAAACGTGAATATGATAACAGTTGATGGATAGGTAGAGGAAACAAGATCTTAATGTCAGATGGCCATAAACCGCAAGAGAATAAAAACTTAACCTTCATAACATCCAAGCAAGTACAAAAAAAGGCACTTAACAAGAAAATTGTTATAATTACATTGATTTTAGTTGCATGGCTTTGTACTTAGAACAATCAGCTTTTCAAGGCATCAGAACTTGAAAATTCCTTATTGATAGTGTTAAATTATGTCTTTGTTAAAAACCATTGATTTTAAGCTGGCATAGGACATTGCAGCTACAAGCCAACAAAATGTATTGTTAATTTGTTATAAAGATGCCAAGTTTGGGGTATGTTCCACAGGGCAAAGATTAAATAAGGTCAAGACGCATGGTTCCCAAGTTAATGTGTCAATCCAAAAAAAGGAGGGTGTCTTGCACTGACCTCTGTATTAACAGCACCATCTACCCACTTCCTTGTAACAGTTGTAACTCTGAACCTTGTTTGTCCTTCAGGATTCTGATAACTGCAGAGAAACCATTATAATCAATCTAACACTGAAAGCAATATAACTAGAGGAAATTAAAAGGAAAAGAAGCCACCTGATAGAATATAGATTCTTACTTTGTTAGAAACTGTAAATATAACTGTGGATTTGAAGTTCCTGGAGGGTTTGATCGCTCACTAGGTGAAATGTCAAAGAAGACTGTGAAACACGTCCTCTTATCAAGGCCACACATCTTCCAAGATGTCGTGTTCCCTTGACCAATGACAGTATCAGCACAACAAGGTCCTTTCTGCAAAACTTAAGATAATAAGTACAAAGTGCTAAAAAAGGGAAAAGGTGGGGAAGCCAGAATGGAAAAAAAAATACAATTTTTGGAGGGAAAAAAAAACTGGACAAACCCATCCATATTTTCAAATAACAAAAGATATTGGTGGAACATCTTATGAGACAACCTTCTCCATAGACGTGCATGGTCCAATTATTCCCTGAATTTTGATATCCTTTGAACAATTGATCTCGAGAGTCCCACTGTAAAATTAGTATAAATATTTTGTTATTTGTACAGATGAAGAACTATATTAAAGATAAATATTTTCCAACATTAGAAGAAAATAGCCAACTCAATAAAGTCTCAGTCCCAACCATATGTGGTCAGCTGGATCTTAGAGAATCAGCACCTAAAGTAGCAAAAATTCTTTGTTTTGTCCCATTCATATCATGCACAACAGATACACAAGCATACTGAGAACATGGGGGCTTTGGGAATATTAACAGTGGCAAATCCCACAAAATTCAGTTTTCACCACTATTGATGCTAGAACAACTTTTTGGGATGAAAGAATTCAAATCTATTAAAGATGGAAAGGGCATAAAACAAAATAGCAACAGCACAAAAAGAATGGGACTGACAAGGTAACAAGATGGACACTTTTTTTTGAGAAGAGGTAGAAAGCCCCTGTACAACTAGAAGCTGTACAATGGGAATGTACAATATACACATCTCAAAACCCTACACCACCACCCCTTGACTGTTAACAAAAAGATTTTTATATACAAAAAAAAAAGAGTTGTAGTTTCTTCCTTTGAATTTTTCATGTATAACAACCCAAGAGTACAATTTTCCCAAGATCTTCTGGTATACTGCTTTAGTTTAACTTCTCTTCCCTTGACATAGCATTTCTTTCTTGCAAAATCGTCCAGAGAAGTGCTGTTGGTACTGTATTCCCACGATTTTTCTTATTTTGTTCAACCCTTCCAGTCTCCAACCCTTCAACAACCCTTCTATTGAAGCAGGAAAGCAACTCTTAACAGTAAATATCTTCATGATTCATCATCATCATCATCCAAGCCTTATCCCAAATATATGGGGCCAGCCACATTAATCCTGTTCACCGAATTCATTCTGTTTAATGCCATATCCATTGTAAAATTATTAGTACTCAAATCACTTTCGCTACCTCAACTCATGTCCTTTTTGGTCTACCCCTACCCCTTGCAACAGATCACTTCTTCTAATGGGTGCCATCAAAGGTCTTCTATGCACATGACCATATCTTAGTCTACATTTTCTCATTTTATCATCTATAGGAGCCACTAGCCTACTCCTAGGCTCCTTACAATGATTTAATTTAAATCAGATTGTATAAGAGAATTCACCATGAAGTAAGAGGTGAACAGCCGACTCCATATGCTCTTCACATAATGCACATTCAGCCCTTCCCACCACCATCCCCCTCTTCATCAGATTATCCCTAGTTAGTATCTTATTCAAGCAAGCAGACCAAACAAAAATGGCCACTTTTGAAGGCACATTTCTGCACCAAATAACACTAACAGGAAAGACACTGGTCTCTTGCCTTGTCATCTGATTATTAAAGGATCTCACAGAAAAAAGGCCAGATCTTTCCCAATTCTACACTCTCATGTCCTCCCTACTAGAGTCAATCCGAGCACTATATGAAGCCTGCATTAGCTCCATCAAAGGTTTGACTTCCCAATCATTTAGTTGCCTCCTAAACTGAGGAGTCCATACCCTGACTCCATTATTTTCAGAAATTTAGTCAGCCACACAAGCTTCTTTGTCCACTACAAACTCGTAAAGGGATGGGTAGATTTCCTGCAAAGGTCTGTCTCCACACCAGAAATCCTTCCAAAACAGCACTCTTACTTTTTTTATCAATAACAGAACCATTTCATTAAAAAATAATGAACAAATACAGCTCTCTTAATTCTCCCCCAAAGAAGTAGAAAGATTACAACATAGCCCAAAACAACTGCTTCCTTCCCACCCCTTGTTTGGCAAGTGTATCAACAAATGAGTTGGCACACATTTTTACCCAATGCAATCTCACTTCCATACCCTGAGTCAGCCACTTAAAAAATCTTCGTTCATTAATGTATTGCCACATGCCATAATCCTCCTTCCCTAACCATCCTATAACCACTTTTGAATCTCATTCAATTATCAACCTGCTTACACTTAATTCCTTAGCCCTTTTTGTGCCCTCCACCACAGCCATAATTTCAGCTCGGAGTGAGTCCCCTACTCTAAATGGACCTGAAAATAGAGCAATAACTACATCTTCCTCCATCCTAAAAACTCCCCCAATCCTTGAAGACCCAGGTTACCTTCACTGCTGACATCGAAGTTCAAGTTAATGAAACCTGAACATGGCAGCACCCACAAAGGATAAGAGGCACTACTACTTGAGGCTGAGACTGCCCTTTCCTTCAAATTATTCATCAAAGCCACTATAGGAATATCATCAAATAGATCCACTGATTTCACCCAATGAACCACCCTAGCAGTGATCACCTCAATAATTGCCCCTCTACTTCACTCCTTTCAGCAAAAATTCTTTGGTTCCTTTCCTCCCAAACCGTCCAAACATTACAAAACGCAGCTCTTGTGCATCTCCACAGCATTCTTTCCCTCTTCTTTGTCCAGCTAGGCAGCAACCAGCGGAACAGTCAAAGAGGCTTTGCACATTTGGTGGGGGTGTCCACTTGTGACCAAACAAAAAGAAAAACCAATCCCAAATAGAATAAACAAAGGGGTGGGAGATTAAAAAGTGGTAGCAAGAGTCACCATTGACTTTACAGAGAATACACCAGTTAGGAGTTAAACACCAAGAAGGCTTTTTTTTCTTTGAAATAGATCGCAAGTGTTGGTTCTTTCCAAGAAAATTTCCCAGCAAAAAGTCCCAACCCTGGAACCAATTTACCCTAAGCTTCCTTAACGGGAAGAGGTTGCCTAGAACTATCAGAAGGCTGAACTAAGGCTTTGAAAAAAGAGGCAAAGGTAAAAGAACTAGAAGGAGAAAGAGTCCAAATCCGAGAGTACAATTTAAAAGGATACAAGAAAACCCTTTGTAGGATTTGAATCAATGCCAAGCCATTGTCCAAATCCAAGTCTCTGATTCCCTGCTTATGCCCTAAGTCCTATTCGAGCTTAGGACCCAAAACAAAGGAAGACAAGAAAGTAGAGACAGGCTCATTTTTAGTGATGAACTCCCCACCCACACATGTACAGAAATTATACCTGACAAAGGTAGGAATGAATGAAGGATAGCATGAATGGATTTCCAAGGCATTGCATCCTACGTCCCAACCCTCAACCACCAGCCCATGGATGCTTAAGATAACCTTCGTCCACAATTTATCCTTGTCCATTGGCAATCTCCATGGCCATTTTCTTAACAATGCCATATTCCTATTTTGGATGTTCCCAATTCCTAAGCTACCAAAACTCCTACTTCTACTTACAACTTCCCATCTAAGCTTATGGTCCTTTCTTTTCTCCTTAGGTTCCCACAAAAATAAAAAAAAAATCTCTCGTTAACTTCTCCAGACTCCTACAACCTTAACTGGAATCTTGAACACCAAGAGGAAGTAGACGAGCAAGTTGGCCAAAGTCGATTTGGCTAAAGTAATTCTTCCACTCAAAGAAAGTTTCTCTTCCAAGAAGCTAATCTCTTGGTAAACATGTCCACCAACGGGTTCCAGAAACTTACATTTCTCGGGTTATCTCTCAAGGGTAATACCGTAATACCAAATAATCCATTGGCCACTGGGAGACTTCACAGCCCAAAATAATTGCACACTCTAACACCTCTCTTTCATCCATATCGATCCCCACGATATAGCTCTTTGACTATCAAATTTGACATCTCCTCAAACAATTGAACCACCAACTTCAAATTTCTCACCCGTCTAAGATCATCTCCCTCACAAAATAATATTGTGTTGTCAGCAAATTGTAGGTGGGTGATAGGCAGTCTATCCCTTCACACTCTCCAACCTCTCACTAGTTCCCTCAAATCTGTTCTCTAGATTAACTGTCCCAGAACATCAGCCGCTAAAGTGAAGAAAAAAGGGGAGAGACCGAGAGAGGATCCTCATGTCTAATTCCTCTAATCACTAGAAAGTGGTCCACAACTGCCCCATTTACCAAGATTGAATAGTGGCATGTATTAATACAACCCTAAATCCACTCACACCACTTATCTCTAAAGCCATAGTTTCTCATTACTTCCAACAAAAAGTCTTTGTCCACCAAATCATAGGCTTTCTCCAAATCAAGATTATAGACTACTAACCCTTTTTTCAGTTCTTTTCAACTCCTCCACACTCTCATTAGCAATTAGAATTTGATCAATGATCTACCTATTCTTAACAAAAGCTCCTTGATTAGGGGAGATAATAGAAAGAAGCATTGATCTAAATATCCAAGAAAGCACCTTTGCAATGATTCTATAAAGGCTATTAACCAAGTTGATGAGTCCAAAATCTCTAGGATGATTTGCCCCTACTTTATTTGGTATCAAGGCAATGAAGGTGGAATTCAGCCCTGGGTAAAAAGCATATTGGAAACCCTTAGAATATCATCTTTTAGAGTGTTCCAACAATCTTAGTAAAAAGCCATTGTGAACCCATTCAGACCTGGTGCTTTAGTTCTATCCATTGAAAAAACTGCTATGTTGACTTCTTCCATATCAAAACTCCTTTCTAACCAACCCTTATGGTCTCCCGACAATCTTGGCCAATCCAACCCTTCTAGACTTGATCTCTCAGTAAAGGGTCTTCTAAAGATGGACTTGAAATGATTCACAAAAGCTCATTCATCAAGAAAAAAAAAAGATTCGGAAAAGCTCCAACGATTTCACTTTATTGATCAATTGTTCCACAGCTTCCAATTCTAGCTTAGAAATGAAATTTTTTTCCTCCTATCATTTGCTAAAGCATGGAAGAATTTGATATTTCTATCCAATTCTCAACTTTTGTCTCCAACTAGTTTCTTCTTTGAGCAAGATATCTCCAACTACTTGCTTAATGCCCATCTCTCTTGCTTATCATTAATTAATTACCTCTTGCTTTCTCATTTCTAGTCTCCCAAATTGCCGAATATTCCAATCCTTTATTTTAGCTTTCAAATCTTTTATCTTATGATGCAACCTCATGCCCTCCCATTTAACCCTTGGATTACTCTTTGCCCACCAATCCTTAACTTTTTCTTTAAAACCTGGGTC